GCAGGATTTTCAAACTTTTCAATCTCTAGGCTTTTAAATTTTCGTGTGTTTGAATTTTTGAAACTTCCAAGCTTTCTTGGAACATCAAAATTCTTGAATTTTCGAGCTTTTAAACACTGAGATCTCAGATTTTCGAATATTTTCTCAAAACTTCTCGAGCTTCCGGATTTCCGAATTTTTAGTCTTCCAAGTTTTCGATTTTTTATGCATTGGAATTTTCCGATCCTTGAATATTTCCAAGTTTTCAAATCTTCGAGTTCTCGAACTTCAGAATTCCTGAATTTTTGATCTTTCGAATTCAGAAACTTTTAACTTCGGAATTCTCAAATCTTCTAATTTTAGAATTTTTAATCTTCTAAATTCCGGAATTTACAAGTTTTCTGACCCTCGAATTTTAGAATCTCTCAATGTTCGAATTTTCAAATTTTCAGAATTTTCAACACAGATAATTTTCCATTTTCATACATTTCTACTACTGATTTATCAATTTTATTGTTGTGATTATTCTAAATTCGTTTCCTATAACGATACTCCTCTTAATAATTACTACTCAAGTTTCTTCATAATTCAATTTTCTTAATAATTATTACTAATATAATCGTAATAATTGAATTGAAAATCTCACCGTCTTGATCGCCATCGTCAATCAACACGCAAAGACCTTTCTGAATGGCTGCTATTGTTAACTTTTTGGCAATGTTTTGAGCGTCGTCTTCCCCATCTTCATCCGCGTTTACCACCAGTGAGAATGATTTCCATTTCAATTCTTCCACGATCTTCAATGTCCCCTGGCACAGAAAATCGTATCTCACGCAATAATTAATTTAAATAATTAAAAAATCTTTTCGCTGAATATTTAACTTGCAAGTAAAAATTTACAAGATGTATAATGCGCAAGAATACAGAAATTATTCAAAACAGAACATTTGTTATTTTACCCATTATGCTGCCTTTGAACTTACTTTTGTTATTTTTAATTTTTTCTCATTTTTCCCTTTTCAAATAATGTATTTTCACTTTGACGCTTGCTTTTGTTACTTTTCCTTTCTCCTTTTATTGGAAGAGAAGATTTTCTGATTTTATTCGAATAAATAAACGGATAAATACTTAATGGATAAAACAGATTTTTGTTTGTTTCGTTTCTTTAATATTCATAAAAATGCAAAACTGCGTAAACGCTCTTTATAGAGATCGTAATTATTAAAAATCGTCATTTTAAAAATGACAAATATGTTGAGCAATGTTTCAGGTATTCAAATTTGAATCGATAAATACTAAGTTTAAATTAATATAATAAACATAATTTAACATTTGTCTAATATTTCTCTGCATTATATTGTGCAGGGACAAACATATTTATTTCCTGTACACAATCTACTAAACCCTCGACTCGGTTTACTAATATTACAACATCTAAATATCTATTATATTTCACAGATTTTAGGCTAGGTTTAAATTAGCTTCACGTTGAGTTCAGTACATACATATTAAAAGTCGACCAACATATATATGAATATTAATGTACAATCAATAATGTTTCTTATTCTTTCTCAATCTTTCTGATTCGCTGAATATTCATACATTGCGTCGATTAACATTTACGTGACACAATTATTACCAGTCAAGCTTACGAAATGGCGTCAGGTTTGCCTCGCTATAGCGTTCAATTATCGTAACAATTATCAGATATATCTAACATCTCGATATAACCGAGAATTTTATTAACTGTTAAATTCGAGAAATTTTAATTTATCTTGTTATTCGACGCCGAGTGTTCCCTCGCTCGTTGTGCAATTTCTTTGCCAGTGCACACGGTGCGTTAATTAACATAATAGCCTTCGAGTGGTAGCAAATTACAATAGAAATGCGATATAAGAAATTCTAATTGCAAGTTTTCGATCGGCAATTACAGTATAACACGTTAGGTAATATAATAGAGTATGCATAAATTATTCTGAGCATGTTAATAATATACAAATACAATGCGAGGGCGATGAAGCGTTGAGACAAGCGATTACCTTCATGAACGTTGAGTTAGGTTAGGTCAAGTTTTTCAGTTCTCCTAAAATAAAACAAACGACGCATTTCGAATTTGAAGATTTCAAGCTTATAAACTTATATTTCAAGCTTATGACAGATTTATTGCCGATTTTTTCTTTTTTTTTTTTTACGGAATTCTAACCAGTCCAAATATTAATGGAAAAATTATTGGAAAATAAAGTTTCTGAAACTTGATATTTTCCCTTCCTCTCGTAGATCTTTCACACGCTAATGAAAAACTAGACTCCCGATCTTTGAACGACTCGAAACTCGAAGAAAAAGTTCGGTGAAGTATCTCGAAAGTCGAATACAAACTCTCGAAAGTTGAACTTCGTTCAGTGCGAAGCGGGGAGTTGCAGTGAGGAGCAACACTGATCAATAATAAGAAAAATTTTGAACGAATTTTCTTATTATTATCGATATTAATTCATTAAGGATCAAGAAATAATTTATAAATATGTACTTCGATTTTTTTTTTTTTGATCTCTGAGATTTTCAAATCAAAGTAAAAAGATAGTGACAAAAAAAAAAACATTCAGCGAATTGTTGCAATTCTGTTTTGTGTCTCTCTGTTAGTTAAAATAGATTTATATTATAAATGTATTAAATTAATAATATATTTGAAGTCACCATTAATTACATTCAATCAAATTTCGCAATTTCACTGTAATAAAATTAGAAATTTGCATTTCTATATTGTAATTAAATTATTACTTAATTTAATCAAATTGGAATCACTATATCAAATGAAATTTAAATTACTAGATTAAATTGTTACATGAGATAATAAATTTCGCCGCATGCATATTAATATATTATAATATATTAATATAATATATATTTAATTTGAATTATTATGTCAAGTTAAATTTCAATTACTTCAATGAAATGATGTACATGCATATATAGCGTAGATTACTATAT